ATGCACTAAAAGTTATTAGGATAGTCACTTCAATAAAATATTTTGATCGAAGGTAAGATTTTTTGTACAAATTTATATTTGAACTTAGATCATATTTTTAGCCCGCGTTTGGCCCCCATTAATTTTCATTACATTACATTTCATTTTTCTCTTTCCTATTTTCAACCACACAGTCTTCTGTAAAACAATATTACATGTAAACCGAAAATTTTTCCTTCTTTTCAACCACTCATTTTTCAAAAAAAATACTATTTCACCTATTTTCATTTCTACAAAATGGGGGCCAAACAGGGGCTTAAAATATCACCTACCTTGAAAAATGAGCTGAAAATGCCATTCAAAAGCCTAAATCTGTCAGAACATTCAAGTCGGAACAAACGTAGACAAATCTAAGAAAATAACTGAAAGGAGTCCGTCCGGTAATCTCAGCAGTCGAATTTTTGTACATTCTAAATTTTGATGTCTAACAGCTACTCCTATGTGTCTAGACATGAGGCAGACTTCCAAACCATCGTTTGTTTTCCCAGAAAAGTTTGCTCTTTAAATTCTATAAATAGATTCAAGTTTTGCATTCATTGTAAAAGTCTTTAAGTGCATTAAAGAAAGAAATATTTAATCAAAATCATTTGTAAGCACATTACATTTATTTCATCTATTTATTCACATCGAAAAACTTTGATTAATTGAATCAAATCTTTGAAATAGTTATATTCATTAAAGTTTTCTCATCAAACTATGACTATAATTTATTGCTATTCATTGAATTGTTACTCTCTCTTAGTACATAATTCATTTATATCATTTACTGAGAGAATCTTCATTGTAAAATCATTCTTCTAAATTGTAGGTTGATTGAGGTCCATTGAGTACTTAATTCATTTATATCATTTACTAAGAGAGAATCTTCATTGTAAAATTATTCTTCTAAATTGTAGGTTGATTGAGGTCCATTGAAAACTCAATCTTTATAAAGATCGGAGCTTCTTGTTTGTGTGGTAAGTCTTCGGGTAGATTTGAAGAATAGGTATCTCTATCTTCATTAGCACAATTGCACTCTTTAAGGTCTAATGGTTGCTTGGATAGGGTATGTAATTTAAAAACTTTATTTCATCCTCCACCCCCTCAAGATCAACTCACCTTTCTCCATGTCAATCATGACTCAGTTGGTTGCCAGAGTGATTGATCCAAGATTATTGAAATATATTGGTCTTCATATTGCCAAGAACAATAACGTTCACTAGGTATACCAATTTTTTAATTTTGATGAGTGCATCCTCAACTTTGCCTATTGGATATTTGATGCTTCTATCAGCTACAGTGACCCCAGTTGTTTCTTTACTTCTCGTAGTCCCAATAAAAGTATACAAATTAAAGCATCAAGTTAATACTATCACACACAAAGTATTAAAGGGACAAGTTTCTTCGATCAAAATAGGTAAATTAAAACTCCTTGGATCTTTTAATTTGGGAGACAATTTGTTTTGCAGTATTGTGCTCTCCTCTATCAATGCCACAATTTCAAATTCCAAAAGTCTTTTCTTCTTTGATATCACCTTCAAGAATCTTGCATAGTTTGCAATCTGACTTATCGCTTCAATGAATAGGATATTGATGTGGGGCATTTTTAGCACATTGATAAAACCTCTAAAACTATTGGTCTAGCTCATGTTTCTTGTTGCTTTGTGGGAATGGGATGGGCTCAATTTATCATCTTTTATCCTTCTAGATCCTTAGACTTGCTCCTCATCAAAATAGGCCGTTTTACAATCGATCTCTTGACTGTAATTTTTAGCAATTGTACCCCATTCTTGCAGTAATTGCATTAAATATTTATCCTTCCATCCACTTTTGAAGTCTTTGGAAAAATGATTTGGACCTATATTCTCGTAACTTTGTAACTGCTTTTCATTGCAAGATGTCAATCTATTCATCTTTAATGACTAGCACTTGCTCATTTAGATTGGTCTCGGTGTTACTTGGTAGGGCAACTAAAGGGCTTTCATAAATAACTTGAGCTAGCTGTCCTATTTGAGTTTCCAAACTCTTGATGGCTATTGAATGACTTTTGCTGTACGACATGATGGGATCAATCCGATGTAAAGGTACAAACTTACAAGAATAGAATATCATAGTTAGGATACTTTCTAATCACGTCCTTAAACTCTCCAAATTGGCCTGATCAAATGTGGAGATCTCGTATCTTAATTTAATTGCCTTAGATGGTGGAAAGTACTTAGTGAAAAACTTATGTATGAGATCATCCCAAGTCCTAATGCTTTCCCCCGATATGGAATCCAACAATTCTCTTGCCCCATCACAAAATGTTATGTGAGAAAAGTCTCAATTTGACTGCTTCGTCTGACACACCATTAAATTTGTAGTTTTTATAGATGTTCAAGAAGTGTGAGACATGATTGTGGATTCACATGAAACTTCCCATAAAATGATAGACAGTTCTAAAAGAGGAGAATGATATGTGTTCGCATGCAATAAAAACCTAAAATAAAAAAAACAGTAATTTAAATCAAGGCTAGAATTAATATTAAAAAAATCAAAGAAAATTAAATTACTTCCTGACAACAACGGCAAAACTTGGTTGTTGATTCTGTAAGTATACGAATCGTGACAAGTAATAAAGTGAAATTTTTAAGTTCAAGTATCGTATCCACTGAGATTAACTTATTTATTACAAATTTATGATAATCTAGCTTCAATCTAAATGAATTTAGTAACCAATTATCAATTTCAATTATTTATGTTTCTAAGTAAACTTCAATAATTTAATA